AATTCATTTATAAAAATACGAATAAACTTTTTCCGATTATTACGCGAGCCTTTAAAACATAAAAAGCGTAATAATTAAAAGCTGTGATCGTAACCATAAACTCTTGCGGAAGAATTATTTAAACTATTTTTATAACTTACTTTACTTATTATAAGTTACTAAGGGGTTCCCATAAACCCACTTAGCCAATTACTAACTTTTACGTTTTTACTTACCCGAACATGGTTCACTAATTAAATTACTGCGAACTCACCACAAAAATTCAGACCTTCCTCTCAGTTTATATTTTTTTATTAATTTATTCCCTTTCTAATAAGCTATCACACGCTTCAATCGGAACTCGTTTGCTCCGGCTATCGCCGTTTGAAGTTGGATAAGCAAAACAGCCAACCAACCTCAAAACAGCTCAAAACCTCTCTCACTCCACGAATTACTGCAGACAATTCACTAATCCAATTGCTCTCAAATATTTATGCTACAAACTAGAAACCTCAAAATTCAATTTTATATATCATAAGCTTAATTTGACTGAGAAAAGAAGCGGGAATTAATTTCCCAAAACTGGTCCAGAACTGTCACATGTGCAGTAGGCACATGAGCAGTCTGCGTTTCTCCATTTTTTTCAGGTCGAAGACCAACCCAGATTTTCCCCAAATTTTTACACAAGGTAGAGGACATCTCAACCTTTAAAATGGCATATGGAACGTCCCTATCGGACCTCTATGGAGGGAGATATGCTCTCTCGAAGTTCATCTAAAATCTGCCATTTCTACAGAAAATTCGCCAGAGTTTCCTTTGTTTTTCCTAAAATCCCCAAATTTCCATAAACTCAAAAGTACCTCAAATGTACCTAATAATCCAATAATAATCCAATGGGTGGCACGCACAAGGACCAACAACACCTTGGGACACTTACAACCCAATCCAGTTTATATTTATTACACCAATAGCTTACTTTAGAATCCATACATAGTTTCAATCACTAATTCCAATTTCATGCATATTTCATCATACAAGTACTCATAACCTAAAATAGGCCTAAAGCCCTACCATCATAGCATGTCATGTATCCGTTTTACATCTACAATGTTCACTGACATATTACAACTTGTAACTTCAACTTACATTTACAAACTTACAATTTACAACTTAAATACAAATGACAACATAAACCAAATAACATAAACTACTAGACTTAGGCAAAATGACATGAACAAATATGCTAATGAAACTCATCCTACATACATATGAGATGTTCATGCCCTAAGTCTAGCCTAGGCCACATGGCCAACAAAATGCAAAATACTAAAGCACTCCACTGATCACTCTGCGGGGCTCTTGCCCGCTGCTCCAGCTCCACTGCTACCTCCTGAAATAAATGCCCCGAGACGGGGTGAGATATACGAATATATCTCAGTAACCCAGAGGTTCTGGAGAAAACTTCGTCCAATGGTTCACTTCGATGCATATAAATAATATAAAACAACCACTTTCAAAACGGGATATAGCAAGAGATTTAGAGAAACTGGGAAATATCGGGATATAAAATACGACGAAGCGGGATGGTAGCTACCAATACCACACAACGTCCTCGGCATATATAAGCCTACGAGTATCATCCAAGGTGTGTTCCAAGAACCACAACCATGATGCCCCAACCAACCATAACTCCTGAGACATTCCTAGTGTGCTCCTATCCGGATCACATACCACGACCCTAGGTCAACTGGAACTCCCTCTCAGAGACCTATCTAGTGGAAATCCGCACTGCCCGAAGGCTAACTGTCTACTGGCCAGAGACTCGGTACATAAGTACCCACTGTGATAAATGCATGCATGCTCATGTTGTTCCACACTACTCATACACACTTCCTATCGTTGCCATCAACTGGCAAGGTGGAACAGAAAAGGGGAACAAGCCCCAGTACCAAGAGGTTGCCTTAATTCGTTCCTTCACTTAGCTCCGCAGCAGCTTAAGTTCCAAGTCTGCTACTCAACAGAACGCCTACACATAGGACGTTCCCACTTACTCAAAGTTCACAAAATGCATGCCAATTATCAATTTCACATGCATAATACAATCACTTACCTCAATCCACTTGGTCCAGGACCAAGGGAAATCCACCGACTCACGGTTCGGGGTTCAAGTCAACATATGACAACCTACAATAACCATGTACAAATCATCAGTACATGGCAATTCTATCAAAATACGTAAAACGTCAAAACCTCCCCTACACCCTTGTAGGTTCGGCCAAAGTAGTGCATTTTTACAATTTATTTTTCTAAATTTTTGTTCTCATTTTATTATGCTCTGTTAGGTTGCCAAGAGGCTAATTCAATTGCCGTTTTTCCGTTTTACGTCTTTTAAGTATCGTTTTGCTAAACAATTCACTCTAGGTTCTTTTATGTATCCAAACACCACTTGTTATTTTCCATAGATTCTACCACTTTTCAACCACAACACAACCTATTTTAATACCATTCAACACTTGATATATCATCCAATCAACATAAACAACATCAAACTCCTAAAACACACCCTATGGCCGAATTGCACACTAGGGGTTTCTAAAGAATGCTCACTCAATTTTAATCATTCCACACCTCCTACAATACCATTATATCAACATATAATTATCCAACAACTCACCAACCAAAACCCAACAAGATTTCAAAATTCAAAGTCATGATTTTCCTCAAAATTTCTAAGTTACAAAATCCATATTTTTCACCAAAAATTTTCATTCCACTCTGATGTTGCAACTTAACCATATGTTCCACTTATTTATACTACTTTTTCGTAATCATTGTCATTTAATCCTGGATGTCAAACTCAAAACACTATCATCTTACAGTTTTACTAACTTCCACCAAACACCTTGGAACAAATCAACTTCCAAACCCATTTCACTATTAACTGATGGACCACTCAAAATGCCATATCTTTCACATACGAGTCCCATCCTATAGGAATCTTTGAAACTTAATTATCAAGTCACATAAAACTAAATCCATCCTTGCCACTACTTATACAATTTACCATCGGTTGGTATATCAGTCTCTCGGAATATTCAAAGTTACCACAAGCACTCGATCATAAATCATTAGTACCTAACTAAAACAACGTCAGCATTGTGCATTTTCCACCCACTTTCCACTATAAGTGGCATATGCAGTTATATATAACACTCCTCAATCTACTCCACCAGTAAAGTCAGGCTATCAACTTTTAGGTAACCAATTACAATTCCAGTTTCCAACTATTATTACACATTCGTGCTTGATTCCATCACAATTTACCTTTTATAAGGGCTAATAATTCACCGTTTTAACCTGAACTCTTGATCATCACCAGCCTTCTTAGAAGAACACTTACTCACTCTGTCAACATTAATCACGTTATTATCTCTTTTTTCATAAGGCGAGAATTCCAACAAACTTACCATCTCACTTAAGGCCGAAGATTATTTCATCAGACTTACTTTACACACACAATAGTGTGCTTCAATATCACACTTCGAAACTCTTACGCACTATGCCTCACATCTTATATCCAGATTTGACATATTATTGTCCACTCACCAATATATGACCTCACACTTTGCGTTAATCACATGGAAAAACTCTCCCAATGCAGTGGGTAAAAACATTCTCAGGTTTAACCGCTCGAGCTCTTGCTGTCCTCAGGGCCCCAGATGTAATGACCCACTGATTAGATAATCCACCCATATGATCCATGCAGTAATGATAACCTACCACCTGTTGACCCTGTTCTATTAGCATTCCCAACGTTTCTTATTTGTGCATTTATCACTAATACACATTATTCTAAGACACTTTCATGTACAAACTTTTCCCAATTGAGCTCTCTAACATCACACATCAACAAATCAAGGTTTAGGGTTCATGAAAATAAACTACAATCAAACCATGTAAATGGGATGGAAATATACTCACAACCAAGGCTAGATGCTACCCTAAGACTCCTCCAAGTAATGGAAGATCAAAAAGCTCCATGAACAACCATTTTTCTCCAAAATTTCGTGGCTGTAAATGGCCAATATCTCACCAAAGAGAGAGTTTCAAGGTGAATGGATACCACCAATGTGTTTGGAAGGTTGTTTCCAACAAATTTCAACACAAAAATCGCTTGATTTGGTTGAGAAATGAAAGATTTATCAAGAAAGAAAAAAAATGGAAACCTAGGTGTTCAAGGAGGGGCTGGTCAGTTTAGAGAGAGAGAGAGTGATGTGAAGATGATGGTGAATAGTGAATGGCTTAGGTGGATAAGTGGGCTTAAGTGGGGTGGGTCCCACGCCACCACACGCGATTTAAAATTCATCCGAATTCTCACTAAACGTCCAAAAATTCACAATTTATTTAGAAACTCTAATTTTTAACATTAACCATTCTCCTTTAATTATACTTGATCAGATGAATCCGGAGTTTTTCGGTCGTTCGGAGAAAACATTGTTTTAAGCTATTGCGCGCGCCGTTGGCACGCTTCCCCAAACTGACTTAATTCCATCAAATATTATCAGAAATCATATTTTCTAACTTTATAAACCATTTATACTCATATTTGAAACCTAGAGCTCAAAATTCAACAGGCACATTTTACGGTGCAATCGTACCGCGATATTTTTACCCGATAAAAACACTATTCACTGATTTTTCTGAAACTTGTCTATCCACTCAATTTTTCGTTCTGAATCCATTTCCAGGGTTATTTTTATCATCTGAGACCTTCTACTCAATTTTTATCTTCCTAGGGTTGCGTGTTGGCTAATTACCCTTTTGCCCTTTCTTTGTATTTTAGCCTAATCTTCAGGATTTTCACTAATCCTTCACTTAATTACTCATTTAATATTTTCTCACTTAATTTAGAATTGCGAGGTGTTATATACAGTATATTGGTTCAATATTTCGTTTCGAGAGGTACATATGCTGCTGCGCAACTTCAATCTGCACATCGTCATTGCAAAAATGTTGTTGAAATGGTCAAGAAGAATGAAGTTCTAGCAACAGGCCACCATGTGCGTGCATATAACGTGGAACATACAGTATTCGAGGTTGACGCGGGCTGGGATCGTTCGTATTCTGTCAATCTCCCACAGAGGTACTGTCAATGGGGAAAGTTTAAGGCTTTTAAATACCCGTGCAGTCATGCCGCTGCTGCTGCTTTAAGTGTTCAACAGAATCCTTTCTTATATGTGGATGATGTTTTCTTGACAACTAACTTGGTTGAGGCTTATTCGTATCCGTGGCAGCCAAATGGTAATGAGGAAGAAATACCACCTAATACAGGTCCACAACTTATTCCTGACTCCTCTATGTTGCGTGCAAAAGGCTGTCCAAAGTCCACCCGGTTCTGTAATGAGATGGATGAAGTTGAGACAAGTCAAAGCCGCAGGACCTCTTCCGCATGACCTCCCATCTATACGGCCCAGGTATGATGTACATAGTAGGATCGGTATGCTCTGGATTGGATGCCAAACCAGCAGATGATGATGAATCACCCATGATAAAAAAACTATATAAAATAAAACAACATTGATATTAATCACATGTAACATCTAATTTTATGTACAAATTATTAAGCATGAACCCTACGTATTTACTACAATCGTAATTAATGACAACATATTAATACGTAGTACACTAATTTATTTGTAATGAAATAATAATTAAACTTCGGACACTAATTAAATCGAAATGACATAATACTAAACCCTAAGTCACTAATAATTTCATAATTATATAATAATAATAACAACTATGTCACTAACAAGTTTTTAAAACACTACAACATTCATAATATGGTACACAAATTACGTTGTCACTATCATTAATTAAATTATAATAATAATAGCTACGTAACAAAAAAATCATACTAAGTCATTACAACATTCATAGTATAGTACAAAATTCCTAAGTCACTATCATTATTCTCTACGTCTCTAATATACAATAAATCCTAACATATTCGTAACGTAACACTGTAGTTTAAACATATACATAGCAGGTATTAGGAACTTACCTAAGTTGGCAGAGCTTCGCTACGAAAAATTCCATGGACGGTTGAGAGCAAAACTTGGTTAGAGAGAGGTTAGGGTGAAAGTGAAATGGTAAAAATGGAAATATGGGGTTTTTTTATAGGCTGGGTGGGTGACACCCCTTTTGGGCGTCACCTGTCACGCCTGGTTTGGGCGTGACCCACCAAGACGTGACGCCCTCTTTGGGCATGACACGTGACGCCCAAAAGGGGCGTGACATTGTGCAATAGATCCGTATTTATTTTTAAAACATGTAATAAATGTGTAATTAATTTATTAAAAAATATTAAATTAATTTTTTTGCCTTTGAAAAATATGGATAATTTGTTTTTCTTCCAAGAACATGCTATCTTAGCACCGACATTAGCAGATGTCTGCATGTTAAATGAGTACTTAATATCAATAATTCCAGGTGAAGAGAAGGTATATCTTTGTTCAGATAGTATCTGTAAAGCAGAATGGAATAACAATCTTGAGGAAGAAGCATTCCTCCAGAAATACTTAACATTTTTTTTGGAATTGGACTTCCTGACCATAAATTGACGTTCAAAAAAGGAGTGTATGTCATACTTCTAAGGAATATAGATCAATCAAGAGGGTTATGCAGTGGGACAAGATTGCTTATTTCAAAACTTGGTGAACATGTTGTTGAAGGAAAAATTCTTTCAGGCAATAACATAGGTGAGATCGTGTTAATTCCAAGGATGAATTTAAGTCCTTCTAATTACACCTTCTGTGTAAAGTTTGAACGCAGGCAATTTCCATTGGTTGTTTGTTTTGCCATGACAATAAACAAGAGACAAGGTCAGACTTTATCTCATGTAGAAATTTATCTTCCAAAACCAATTTTTTCTCATGGCCAATTGTATGTTGTTCTCTCTAGGGTCAAAAGTAAGAAGTGATTATAGCTTTTTATACTTGACGATCACGACACAATTTGCAATACGACAACAAACATTATGTTCAAAGAAATTTTTCAAAGGTTGAAATAAATTAATTTGTCTTATTTGTTGAACTATTTTACATTAATTCACAGAGTTTGCTATTTTACTATAATATGTAATGTTTCAATTTGCAATACGACAACAAACATTATGTTCAAAGAAATTTTTCAAAGGTTGAAATAAGTTAATTTGTCTTATTTGTTGAACTATTTTACATTAATTCACAGAGTTTGCTATTTTACTATAATATGTAATGTACATATAATTTTACTGTTTATTTAATTCTATTTTTATTTTATATTTACCACTCTCCCGTGCGAAATCACGGGTCATAGACTAGTCTATACAAAGCTTGGATAGTGTTTTATTTGGATCACTAATTTTTTTTTTAGTGCATATTATCTGAGTATTTTATATCACTAGTGGGACAATGGTTTTAGATTCATTGCATTAAATTTTTTAAAACCGTGCAATTTTAACCATATAATATTAACCATGTGAGAATTGTGTTTAGCAAAATTGTTTAAGCAGTAGTGTCATTTCATAAAAGAAAATGCACGTATATGTGTCCACAAAAGAAAAATATTGGATAAAGAAAATAATGATAATAAATGTGGCTACAGAAAACAAAGTAGGGAAAAGGCAAGGGAGAAAAGTAGGAAAGTAGAAAAAAATTAATATAATTATTTTTATTCAAAATTTTAATTACAATGTATGTATACTCTTAACATATTATTATATTATTTACTTTTAAAATTTAATATTTAGTTAAATAAGTAGGGACTGTTTAAATTGTTTTGAAACAAAATTATCAATGGAAAACAAATTCTTATATCCTCTTAACGTATTGATAGCACAATAATGCCTATCAACTCGATCACATTTTATTTTGTATTTTGAAAGAAAGTGGATTTATGTGAGTAGAAAAGGTTCTAGTGGATTAAACATGTAGTTTTAATTTGATTTTGAAATTTATTTATATAAAAAATATCTTTTGAAAAAAAAATTCTCGTGTTTGGTGTTTGACTGTAGATTGAGGAATTAATCTATCACCTATTAAGTAGAGAATATTAAATAAACAAATATAACTAAATTCTTATTCCTGAATCACAAAGCCTAAACCATCGATCCAACTATGCTTACAGATTCAAGCAAAACTATTATGTAATGATGGAGAAGAAACTAGATAGAAAAATTTTGTATGTTAAAATTAATTTATTTTAAATTTAAAATAACTTATAATTAACTAATGTATATTGGTGTGAGAGCAAAGAGTTTGAGTTGATTAAACATGTAGTTTTTAATTTGTTGTCAAAATTTATTTATATAAAAAATTTCTTTTAATTTTTTTTTTATAGTTTTTAATATTCGACATGTGGCTTGAGAAACTAATCTCTCACCTATTAAGCAGAGATATTAAAAAGAAAAAAAAAACTGTAACCAAAATCTTAGTTGAAGAACTTTGAAACAATAATTACTCTATTAAAATTAATTAAAAGCAATCATGCTAAATTAGACACATAATAATCAACCTATTAAATGTAGGGTAGTTATACAAGATGATGACCACAAATGTCTCAATAGCGTTTAAAATGTGGTTGACTTATGAATTAGGATACAAGCATGTTTGTTATTAGAAAATACAAGCTTATTAATTATAAAAAGAGGAGGGATATTCTAACTACTAAAATTTTCTACTATCAACTTACTACCTATCTAATCACCATTAGATTAACATTTTCTCTCTCTTCAAAAACTTTTTGACATTCTCTCTCTTTGATCCAATGGTGATGTGATGGGTAGTAAGTTAGTAGTGAAAGGTTTTGGTAGTTAGAATATCCTCACTCTTATAAAAAAGGATTGATATTTTTTATGTTGTAAAAAATAATTTTATCTTCTAGTTTTATACACTCGTTAAAGTGTATAGAGCTCATGTGGAGCTATATGAGAAGAAGAAAAAAAAAATATAGATCTCATACATTTTATATGTGTATAGATAATAAAATTATTTCATATAACAAGAGAAACATTAATCACATTATAAAATAATTTAAGGACGAAGACACCGAACAGCCTGGACACGGAAAAAAGTTAGGGTGATCCTGGACCGCATCCTTGCCCAAAGTGGAAATTTTTTTTCTACTCTACTTTTTTCAAAGCACCAAAAATCCTCAACTAATAAAAAAACACTAAAAGAAAATGGTCCCGGTACACCAAAAATCCTCTCACATAGACATGGATCGTCAGCATTTGAATTTTCAAAGCACGATTTTTTTGTGATTAACAATATTTATTAAGTGATTGATTTGCCACCTAACACATTTGTTTCAATAATAATGAGTCAAACACATCACGTGAACGCGGATCACCTGCACGTCCCTGCGGCCCAAATCCGATTCCAATAATTTTTTATACTATATTTATTTTTAATATTTTATGTTAACAAACATTGATTGACAAAGATTTTCTACAAATTTTTTTATTACGTCTTTTACCTTTTCCATTTATAATTATTGATATTAATTTACTTCTAAATGTACCTTTATAAACAACAATGCTAGATACATATTTACTTAGGAAGTAATGGTATTATTGGTATACAAACAGTAAAGTTGATATAAAATTTACCAAAATGTAAGGTGCCATTTACAAACACAACTCATGCATTTTCTTTGGATGACAGTGATAAGAAACCACTCAATAATAATAATAATAAAATGAGAAGTTTTTTCTCATTAAAAAAACGTGTCAACACTGCCACAACCATCGTTAGGTTATTATTGATCGCCATCCTCTTTGTCCCTGAGCTATTATCAGCACTGCCACCAATGTTTTGGACAACACCAGCCATTGCCGCAACTACTATTACTATATGATGCCAAAGCATTAATTGATATAGATGTTATTGGTATGGATTTTTTTTCTGTAAAAGAAGCATGCAATTTTTTTAATGTAAATTATTCATGTATACGCTAATTCTCTTAGATGTAAATTCTTTGATATATAGAACCCTCATGTAAATGGTTAATCTCTATAGTTAATTATTATAATTACGTTTGCCTGAAATGAAATTTAAACAACGATGAAAAAAATGAGTTAATAAATCAAAACAATTTAAGATTAATTTGTTTTTCCTTATTGAATGGTCAGATTAACTAATTTTAGTTTAAAAAAAAAACAATAAACAAAGAATCACTTAAAAAAACTAAAATAAAATTGAATTTGTTGTAAGTACTCGTGTTATTTAACTTTATTTAATCCTAAAATATAAACTATATTCAAATATTATAGTTGAAAGTATTGTGTTGGTCTCAGATGAACTCAAGAGGGGTTGAATTGAGTTTATTAAAAATTTTGTAATTTAAAAAAAATACACAACTACAATAAAATAAAGAGTAAAGGGAAGAAGTGACATTTATTTTAACGTGG